AACGTCTTAGCCGCTGTTCGTCCAATAGCGAAAAATCGACGACCAAACAAGGGAGTCCCGTTTTGTGTTTATCTGACGGATTTCGCTGCCCTTTCCGCCATTGGCGTACCACTGAGCACCCTGCCGTCCCCTCTGAACCCCTTCAGAAAACATCGTAATCGATGCTTCTAACATTTGAGGATTTACAGAACGAAAAGGTTTTGTTCGATAAATTATCCGGTCAGCTTAAGAAATCTCTTGGTCATTCGAATTCTTGACGCGTGTTGGCAGCGGGTATACTTCCATTTGTTTGTTATGGCGCCGTCATTATGACAACTTTTCCTCCGCAAAAAGAGTTGTATTGGGACGAAAACAAAAAAAAGCGGGAATTGCTGCCGCTCAGACTGACACTTGGAAGGAGAAGAACAGCATGCGCAATTGATGCAGATCACAGCGCACATAGAAGTGGAACGACTGTAAAATGTCTACTGCACAAAAGGACATGGCGCCGTGAACGGAAATTTTGCTTTACCTTTCGTAACGATTGTATCCTAAATTTTCTGCATCTCTAAGTTATTGGCGTGTCAAACTTTTAAAAGAAGTCTCCGTTCGAAAGTCCTTTATACCTGTGCGTGTTGTTATGATTTTAGCGCATACTAACAATTGAGCACTCTACAGTAGAATGCGTGTCGCATCTCAAAAAAGGATTGGTCAACGGCAAATGCTTTATCCTTTATACTTTACTATCATTTGAGGAAGATACAGGATAAGGTTCAAGGTGGAATAAGAGAGAACTCACTTGTAATTGATGAGAAGACAGGCGGTCTCTCTGAGGATACAGACCGAAATGCAATTCCCCAGAAAGAGCATGCTTCGGCGAGCTAGCTTGACCCTCCCCGCGGCGCTATCGGCGCGGTCCGCCCATCGACTGGCTCACCGCTCGGCATAGATCCCTAGCCGTTTAACAGAGAGAGAGGGAGATTAGGGAGAGGCAGAGAGAGAAAGCGATGGCCCTGAAATGGGCAGCAGCAGCGAAAGTGGAAATTAACGGGCGCGGGAGGGGTCCGATTTCTCAGGTTCCTCTCTGTTTTTAATGGGTTTTTCTTCATTTCAGCATCACTGACCACCTCTACCTTAGCTCCATTT